TTTTTTCCAAATTTTCACGCAAATTCTTGGAAAAAGGCAAATCGGAGCAGAAACCTGAATTCCAGGGAAAACTTGCCGACGCAAACAAAAAAAAATTGCGGCCCGGATCCCCAAGGGCTCCAAAGGAGAAGCCCCGGATGCTTGAGGGTTTGATTGTTCAGTTTGACACAGAGCCGCTTCAGGACAGCAAGACGGATAGAAGCCAAGTAAGACAGAAAGAAACGGAAGAGATAAACACAAGTAGGGAGAGAGAATGCCTGTCAGCAAGAGAGACGCAGTGCCCGTGAAAAAGCAAAGGTCATTTGATAGATGGTTGTCGACAGCAGCACGAAACGAGGCCAGAGAGACAGAGAGACAAAGACAAGGCAGTCCAAATCCCGATCCCAACGGATATGAACCCCGGGAGCTCAATCCTGGAAACGAAGCTTGGCAAGAGGTTGGAGATGAGTTGACGAGAGGGAGAGCCACCATGCACACATCGTGTGTGAATTCTGCAATGTCTTCAGAACACATGCACTCTTTCGCTCAGTCTCACTGCCAAAGCTCGGACTTTGCCTGCGGGCCTGGTCCGTAGTCGCCCTGGACAACATAGCCACGGCTTCATCGGCTTCGGAAAGCCAAAGGCATTTGCGTTCCAGCACGGCTGCCAGCTCGGCAAGCCAAAGGCAAAAAGCATCTGCGACAAGATTTGAGTGTTCCAGCTCAGCTTCCACTTCTAGGGATCAGTCACGACTGGGCAATGGAGGCAATGCTGCAGCTTCGAGTTCTGCATCCGTCAAAACGTTTGCTCCTGCACGATCGTACTGCTGATGAAGCAGCCTCTGCGGGTCGGGGCTGGTGTACTCATAGTCAGCTGCTCGGACACACCAGGACTTGAGTTTCCTGAGCACAAGGTCCTTATCAGCCTCGCTCGCATAAGACAACGTCCGTGTGCACCTGGTGCCCATATGACTTCGCGAATGGTACCGGCACAGGACCATGTAAGCAGGGTTCTTGGCCTGCCCTCCCGGTCGAAAGGTGAATCGAAAGCCCCGCCATTCGAAGGTTTCGTCCCGACGCTGTCGAGCAGCAGGCGGAGCTTCATCCTGTTGCTCGGGCCGCGGCCTTCGCCGATCCACAGGAGCAGCAGGAGCCTCAGCATTAGGATCTGGGTCATCACCGGCGTCGTTGCTGTCGCCACTGGAATCACTGGAAGAAGAGCTGGAAGAACTCGAGGATTTGCTGGAACCGGAACTTGAACCAGAAGCCTCCTGGGCTTGCGGCTTGACATTGCCACGAATCAGCACAGCAACGAAACTCAGAACGAGAGTCCCCTCATAGCAGAACAAAAACCAACATGTTCACTGGAGAAACTTCCAAGGTGCCTTGGCTTCGTCGTCCGAGTCAAAAAGCGCCATCAGTTCCTCGGCGTCCGCGCCTTCGAAGTCATCCTCGAAACGAAGTGGAGAGCCAATGCCTCCTGCATCGATGTTGACATCATCGCCCGGAGCCGCATCAGCCTGCAGTGGCATGTCGCTCAACTCAGGTTGAAATTCGAGAGGATTACTATCCACTTCAGGCCGCTGGAAAGCATTGGCTGGCACAGCGCCAGCATCTTGCAAGGCATGCCTTGTTTTCTTCTGCGTCGCCACATCCAAGCCCAGCAGCTTGTCGTAGTAGGCCAGTGGCTCAAAGTGCAGGATTTTCGGCTCTTCACTGTCATCAGTGCACAACCGAAGACCAGCATCTGCAAATGCAAGCACAGTCAAGTAGCGTCTATGGAGGGTTCCTTGCAAGACGTAAATGCATTTGTCGTCGGAAGTTCGAAAGGACAGGTCGAGAGGCAAAACTGAATTCTTGTCCTCTTTGTCAGTCAAAAAGTGACACTCCCACCCTTCGCTGTGTAGGAAACAAAGGAGCTGCATCCTTGACCAAGTCAACGCAGGAGGGCCGCCTGGCCTAGAGAACACCGGCTCAGGTTTGCGCAGTTGCAGCTGGAGACTGAGGTGGGAAAGCGCATCCTTGCTCAACAACCAACCGCTGCTGTCATCGCGAAGAAACTCAGACTGGACTAAGCCGTAGTCCAGGAAACGTTCCAGCACCGCCAGCTGAGGCTTGGCACCCTCATCTGAGTGGACAATGACAAGAGCTGTCTCACGAGGACTTCCCACTATGGCTTGCATACGTGCCATGTGCGACACGAGAGTGGAGGCCTCTTGCTGCAGGTACTCTGGCAACAGCGGCAGACCCTTCGGCACATACCGAGTGTCCACCTGAGTCTCTGTCCACTCTGTCACACCTTCCATGGCTTCTGGGATGCTCTGCACACGAGGAGGATCGAACAAAAGGAGGTCCATGCTGCCGGAGGTCTGCCGTTGTGGCAACAAAGACACAGATGCATCATCCGCTGACGCAGTGACCGTGCTATGCACAGCCACACAAACATCCAGGTGGCTTAGTTGCTTGGCCAGTGCATCTGCTGCACGCACACGATGCTGCGCTGAAGGATTGCGCTTGACCACCTGGCATGGCAGGACTTAAGGCCTCGGGGTCGGGAGTACATGAGAGGACCTAGCAAGCGTCGCAGTGTAGGAAGTTTGCAAAGTACATGGGCGGGGAGCTGCTGGTTAATATCTACATCGAGAAACATAGCAGCACGATGCCCGCCTGAAGAAAGACGTTCCTGCCTTCGGCAGCAGCAGGGATCATCTGATGGTTTGGAAGCACCCAATCTGCGGCCTGGTCCGAGGGTGTAGGGTCTGGGCAAGCAAAAAGGGGTTGAACCACGTCAGTAGTGGAGGCAGCGGGGGGCAGCAATGCATCACGAAGGGATCGGGACGGCGGCAAAGCGCCCCGAACAGAATAAATGGCACCTTGGCGGCATCTCTTTGAAAAGTCCTCCTTCATAAGGACATGTAACAAAGCTCCCAGACGGTCTGCATCAGAAAGCTGACTGTTGATGTGCTGCCGAACTCGCTTCGCATCATCAGGGTTGTTCCTGTGGTGGGGTTGTTTCAAAGTTTTCGCAGCACGTGCACGGGTGTGGTACTGGGTGCCGAGATCAGCATGGTAAACAATCCTTGCAGCATCACGGAGCCTGACCTGGGAGCCCAAACCTCTCAAACGAAGCACTTCAGGATGCTGCGACATTCCAAGATGCACGAGCACATGCGGCAGAAGCGTCTTGGGACGGACCTTCACCCTGGCCACCTGAGCCTCCCATGCTTGCAAGACGGCAGCATCCGCAAAGCACCGCCTGTGCAGCTCGTGCGCACGAAGTGCAAGAGAAAAAGCAGCGGGCGTGAGCCGCTTCATCACGGATGTTTTGGCCTTGAGCAAAGCATGCCGTGCCTCGATGCTTCGCTCAACACACGCAATGAAACCACAAGCTGCAGCTTCCCTGAGGAGCTGGGGCCTGTCGAACCTTGTACATCTGCCTGCAATGAAATCTGCGATATCGTCCTTCAAGGGGCCTTGGAAAAAATGCAATGTCAAAGGATGATGCTTCTCACTTGCCACATGCTCTCGGAAAATTTCTTCTGCTTCCTTGAGGCCCATTCTCGCGACATCTTCGGAGTGATGGCCCAACACACATAATTTATGTGGCAGGGTTTTCCAAAAGCAGAATTTCAGCTGAAAGAACTGTTCCAATCGCGCTTGGCCTAGAGCAAAATCCTTCAGAATCTTGTTTCGGTCAGCATCCGACAAAGCACTGCAAGTAAACAGAATCTCAGCATGCTGCAATCCAAAGGTCTTCTCAACGATGGCATCCAAAATCCCGGCTGCGAGTTCCGGAGCTCTTCGCCCCGCCATGCAACAACTGTAACGTGTTCTGAAGGCTTTGTTTCCGTGAAGGGGGTCCGTATCATCCAAGGTCTTGTAGTGACAAGGACAAGCTTCAAACCAGTGCTCGAGGTGGTCCACTACACGGGACAAGCGGAGCAGCATAGACACATATGCCCAGAACACAGCATCATAGACTGCCTCGGACATCAATGCAGCATCTTGCTGACACTGACGAGTGTCTTCGGCTTCCTCGGCCGCTTCGCCTCTTGACTGCCCAATCACTTCATCCGCATTCCAGTGGACGAAAGCAAGGCGAACTGCCAGGAGCTCTTTACA